CCCCAAAACCCCAAAACCCCAAAACCCCAAAACCCCAAAACCCCAAAACCCCAAAACCCCTTTTGGTAAGTGCAATATTGAGTTTAAAGTAATTCATGATCTGAAAATGTTAAAGGTTACCATCTATTGAACCTATTTCTTCTCCTTCCTGGGTTGTCATCACAAATTGTTAATATATCTCAGATAATAGAGGCTACAAATCCAATATCATAATAAACTTTGAGTGGAGCAATGATGTGCCCATTTTCTCCTAACTTCATTGCTCTTTCTCCCTTAAGCCTTCCGATCCCAATTACTAAGCACATGCAGTACAAGAGAGGAGCTGATCACCCGAGAGCTACCTCCACTTCTTTATTACTGGTAACAATAATAAAGATAAGAGTCACAACAATAGCTACTAGGAAGACAAGGCCGATTGCACTTCATCTACTAAAATTGTCTTGTCTCCAAGAAGAGTAAAGTGTAACAATAGAAAGGAGTAATAAAGTCATAAAGCAAGATACATATACAGCGAAAGGATTCTCTCCTGCAGCACTAAGAGTTGCGAACCCTATTGCCATTCAGACAGTTAATAAGATTACAAAGATTAGGTTGCTAGGTGATTTCTTCATAAAGTCTCAGCATCCAAACATCATCACAATAATTATTGCACTTACGGCACATGCAATTGCTAGCCAGAAGATTTTTACCAAAAAGGGTCCGAAGGCAGTCTTCACTGCAAGGATACAGACTCCAGCTATGAAGATATGCATAAGAAGAATGACTATACAGACTTTAAAGATGAACCCGACTATGTCCTTCTCGTCCACACTCTCCATGCTGCTGTCACTACCTTTTCTATTAAGCCCTTTATTCTTAGTCACTGCTTTACTTCTCCCATTCTTCTGATTACTAGCTCCTGCTGGGCCAGCCTCATTATCAAATTTAGAGTAAGGGGTATCGTTTTTGTCTTGACCCGACTTGTAATTGGACATTTAAAATTTATTTGTTAACTTCTAGAAAGTTACCTCTTTAAGGGGTTTTGGGGTTTTGGGGTTTTGGGGTTTTGGGG